GTTGTAAGTTTGTAACCCATTTTCTAGTAAAGTATTGATAAAAAAACAAACCAAAAATATTTCTTTCTTTTTTCACATTGGATCCTTATAATCTATCGTTCTAGTGGATAAACTTTTTAAGTAGAATAAATATAAATGGCATTGAGCTACATATCCATTATCCAAATGTAGAGGATATGTGTAAAGCTCAGAGAGCTTTTGATATATACAAAAACATTATAAGAAGAAACCAAAAAGTAGGGAAGTGGAAAATATAACTAAATAAAGAAATGGAGTACATAATTGCTATTGCTTAGAACAAGATAGAAGGAGGAGGTTTGTCTACATAGGGAGGGTAAATGAGACAACATTGATGATAAAAACCATAACTCACTTTGTGTTTCTTATTTCAATCATTCAATGGCACATTGCTCCATAACCCAGACATCATCATCTCAATTTGTTCATATTCTATATGTGTATGCATATGTGTCAAATACATATCTGTGTATCTCTTGCTTTGTTGCTTTACTCATCACTAGTTTGATCACACTTTTAATTAAATATCATAGAGTTAAAGTAAATTATGTTTGGACCCATCTTACATGTCCAGATATATGCTGACAATGAAAATTGAATTTTTATTTCCATTGTCGAAAATTAAATTTTTGTTCTGTTCTTGAGAAAAAGGAATCGAAAAGTGAGGTGGCTTTATATCTAAATCAGTTTCTTTAATCTAAAGATGTTTTCTTTGTCACTTCCCATTAATTTTCGCACAACAAATTTGAATATCATTATGAAAAAATATAAAAAAGAACGCAAGGAATATTTCCTTTTCAAGTATGTCGATTTTTTTTTTACTGCAATCATTCTTTAACATATACTAGTAACTTGATGATAATCAATCTCGAAGACAATCCTAACGTGAAATGTCATATATTCCCATATAAGTTTATACTTAAGTCTTCTCGATGAATCGTGTTAGTTAAAATGGTGGTGACTATAGTAGCTAGTGACGACCAAAGTTGTTTCTCTCTTTTCATGCGTGACAACTGACAATTACCCGTAACAGAACGGAATCAACTTTTCTTCAAGTTTATGCTAGAGACAGACCAAAAGGTGTATGTGTTGAGAAGACACGATAATACAATTGCTCGTTAAGTTTATAGCGTTTTTTTCACACAACACAATACCAAAAATAAAGATTATAATTTGGTATTCATATTAAACATATCATCATTTTTTCTTGTTGTAATTTTCATCCTAATTTACTTTGAGTTTTGAACTTCCAACTTGGATCAGCATATCTGTTTTGTTTCTCAAATGTAATCAATTTGAATAATTTCCTTAAAGTTTCAGTTAAACATCCATACCATTTTGATTTTTGTTCTGTTCTCGGTTCCAAAATCATTGGAGTTAGAAAGTAGATAACAAAGAATTTGAATGTAAAGAAGAAAAACAATATATAATCGATAAAGGGAAGTGTAATGAAATCCGAAAAAAAAAAGAAAACAAATTGAGGAAGAACAAAAAATTACGAGGAAACAAACACAAGGAAGTGGTCCACGCGTGCCAACATGAACTGTATGTGCGGGTGGTTGCGACGCGCGTGCTGAATTCTCTCACGTGTGAAAATCCCAAAATTAAAAGAACAATCTTTTTAATAAATAAACGGATTGAGAGATGACGAGAAAACGCACTCTGTATATATAAATAACAAACCCAAACCAGAAAGCATTATAGTAGGCAAAGAAACACCAATTCTTTTAAGAGTTCTTTGAGTTTTAACTTCATATTTATAATGCTTCTTCTTTGACACTTGTACGGTCTCTGTACCTATCGTTTATCCTTCTTTCGTAAGCACCCAAGTGAGAGATTTCGTTTAGAAACCAAACACTATATTTGTCTTTTGTTTCCTCTGGTGCAAAAAAGTTAAGAGATTTTTTCATAATCTTGAGCTCATAGTAACCAATGGCGGTGAACACTGAAACAATGCAAAAGTCGAAGTTCGGAAGAATCTGTGTGTTCTGCGGAAGCAGCCAAGGCAAGAAGAGTAGCTACCAAGATGCTGCTGTGGATCTAGGCAACGAATTGGTATTACAAATCTCTGAAGTTCCCATTTTTAAGTCATTTACAGATTTTATATCTGCTTTCTAAGTTAATTTTCGAAAAAGAGACGTACTTTTACAGTTTATGTTCACCAGATGTTTGTGAATATGTTTGTTTAGCCTCTTATCTTTGCAAATGCAGAGCATTTCCTCTGTTTTGAAAACACTCATCTGTGATTTAGCTTACAAATGATAAACCCTTACAAAGTATTGTTGATATGTGGAATTAGTGCTTCGTTGATAACTCAAAAAGATTACATTTTTCAGTTTTTGTTTTATCCTTTTATCATATTCATCTTTATGATTGGGAGCCCACAAATATCGCTTAGTGGGAATGTTTGTCTCCATATTTGAGAGTACAAAACAAAAGCAGTATCTTTGGTTTCGATTTATCTTCTTAGCTCATTTCTCAAACTATCTTGGTTTAAGAAATATGGTTTAATTTCCTCTGTTTTTTTATTTTGGCATTTGCAGGTTTTAAGGAACATTGATCTAGTCTATGGAGGTGGAAGCATAGGTTTGATGGGTCTGGTCTCACAAGCTGTTCATGATGGTGGTCGTCATGTTATTGGGTAATTCTTCATCATATCACTTTAAACATGCTTATTATCAAGTCTCTTTGTTTCTCATATTTGTTGTCGTTTTTACCAACAGGGTTATTCCCAAGACACTCATGCCTAGAGAGGTATTCACTCTTATAAATCACTGAGGAAAAATGTTTGAACCTTTTTAAATCTGTTTCTGATTCCTATCTGTTAACTGTTTTCTCTGGTTGCTTTATCTTCATTCATTTTATTGGAACCAAAAGAAGTTTCATTTAAGAAAAAGAAAAATGAGATGGAGAGCTTAATAACTAAGTATTGTATGGATAGTTAAAATAAGACAAATTGCTTACATTGCCATCATTGCTTCTGGTTCATAGAACAGTCTAAAGCTGCTTTTTTTTTCTTTCTATCTTTAATTTTATTTAAAGTTTCAAGATTATTAGTTAAATGGGATTTCTCCTTTTTTGGCAGTTGACCGGTGAAACAGTAGGAGAAGTAAGAGCCGTGGCAGATATGCATCAAAGAAAAGCTGAGATGGCTAGACACTCTGATGCTTTTATTGCCTTACCAGGTTAGTAGTATTAGCTCTTAAATTCTTGAAATTGTTCAAAGTCCCATCGGTTTATTAGTTTAGTTTACAAGCTCAGTTCTCAAAACAAGTAATGATTATGTAGGATGAAACTAGCTAGTCAAAGTCTAGTGATAGCCTTGTTTAAGAAACTACTCAGCATCTTTTTTAGGCTTTTTAAACTTCTTAAATTGTAGAAAACCAAAGTGTTTAAAGAAGATTAATCTTGATTAAAAAAGGGCACCGAAAAGGGCTTTAAACTCTTTGACTAATTTTGCCAAAGAAGAGGGAAGGAGAAGAAACCATTTGATGAAAACATGTTTTCTTGGTCAAACTCAAGCCGTAGTGTGAAAGCCTTTTTTCAAGTTTAAAATTTGAAAAGTATATATTGGTTCGTTTCGTTATGATTGTTGGACTATTTTTTTTATAAATAATAAATAAAAAGAATGCATTGACCCATCGACATCTCGCACTGAAAATTAGACCAATGTCTTCTCTTTGCTCTATTTCTTTGTTACTTGCCTTTAACTTGGGAGGTACTTCTCTATATAGCTTATGTGTAGTGTAACTGTGCCTAAAGTTTTAATTTTTCTTACCTGTTTTAAGTTAAAAGACAAAAACCTGAAACAGTCTCAGAAAAAAGCATGTTTGCCCATATAGAGAGGTCTTGTTGAAGAGCTTTAGTAATCATGCCCATATGTTAACAGAGTCAGAGGATAAGTCTCTTGTATGGGATTTGTCTTGTCCAGAGGACAGTTTCTGCGCAGATGAGGCATAATTTGGTGAATTGACCAATATTATAATAATAATTGACCTGACCATAGTCTCTTTCTGCTTTGAATCTGCAGGTGGATATGGAACACTTGAAGAACTATTGGAGGTCATAACATGGGCTCAGCTTGGTATACATGACAAACCGGTAAAGACCCATCACTATGATCCTCAAAAAGATTCAAACTTTGAAACACAAAATCATTAAGAAACTAATTACCATTGTTTGCTGCAGGTGGGTTTGCTCAATGTTGATGGATACTACAACTCGTTGCTCTCTTTCATTGATACAGCCGTTGAAGAAGGATTCATCAGTCCAAACGCTCGCCAGATCATAATTTCTGCGCCTACTGCTAAGGAGCTTGTGAAGAAGCTTGAGGTACTTGCCTATAGGCAATTTGATTGATCCAAAAGACTGGTTTCTGAAAAAAGTTTAAACTGAAAACAACTGTGATGTTGTGTGTTTGCAGGAATATTCTCCTTGCCATGAAAGTGTTGCGTCTAAGCTCTGTTGGGAGATTGAGCGGATTGGCTACTCTTCTGAAGACTGACACTGATCAGGATTTATATAAACATATATAACTATAATTATTGAATCTCGGGAGGTTTCAAGACTAGATCTTAGTTAAGGAAACAGATTTTGAGGATCTCAGAAACTTCTGATTAGGAGGCTAAACTAAAAATTTCCACGGATGGAGGAAATTCTTTTGTGTAAATTACTACTGTCTTTAAGCTCTCAAATGTTTTTGGTTCTTTGAATCACTTTCTTCTGTAACTTAACCAATGAAGTTTTAACACTTTTTGGTTTTCGTAATTTATATGGAAAAAAAAGTAACCAAAATTTGATCTTCAATTCCTCATATTCAAAAGACAATTTTTGTTGTCTATACAACATCTGACTAAGCTAAACCCACACAAGTAGTGTTTCAGTCTCATGGTTAAGAACTAAGATTCACACTATGACAGTAATGACTTACTCTAGTCTCTACGCTCTGTGCCCTTGTACAATCAAAATCTACCTGGTACAAACTAGATTGTTTCATCTTCTTCGTCAGTGTCATAGCAAAGTTCTGAAGAGCTAGATGAGTTCTCAGCCTGCAAACTCTTAAGCTTCTGGACTGCATCTTGTACATCAAAGAAAAGGGCATCTTTAGCCGCTATAACTGAATCCTTCTTCTGATTCTCAGTAGGCCTTATGTTCTCTTTCCGGGCCAGTCTAGAAGACTCTGCCTTTCTTTTAGCTTCCCTTGCATGCAGATGATCAATGTACTTCTCATGCAACGCCTTGTTCTTCACCGGTTTCAGCACTGCAGGGCTAACGAGCTTTGTTTGATCTTCACTTGAAGCAGGCACTGGACATTCAAGGATTTTCGGAAGAGTTTTCCCTTTCTCCATGGGAGTTGAGAGAAAGTTGCTTGTGCAGCCAGGCTCAAGAACTGAGAAGAGATCATATCCAAGACCTTGATCCATTTGATTTTGCTTCTCAAGTAAATGCCTGATCGTTTTCTTTGAGAGATTGTTTCTGCGCTGCCGTACCTTAGTCTTTGGTGAATTGGGTTTCAAGAGTTTGGTTGCAGAGAGCGAGAAGTGGGGAATTGGTGATAAGTTTGTCTTCCTGGCTCTTGATCGAGGCTGAGGTTGACGAGGAGTGATGAGATCTGAGTTCACTCTATCGAAACATTCCTGAGCCGATTTTCCAGGTACCATCTTAGAAACGTTCTTCCAGAAATGAGGGCTTGGCTTCACTGTCAAATAAGCTCCCTGTAAAGCTACCTCCAGCTCCTCTGTCCATCCTTTCTCAAGCTTGTTCTTTGTCTTCAATCCTCCTTCTTCTTCTACTACTTCCATTTCTATTCTCTTCCCTTCATCAGCTTTTGGCACAGCATTTTCTTCCTCGTTTTCCTTTGCAAGTCTCATCCTTTTCTTCTCAGTAACTTCTTCTTTTTCTTCTTCTTCATCAATATCTTTAAACATCTGCTTAGTCTTCGGAGGAGGACGACTTCTACTTCTACTTCTGTCCCTAGATCTCACACCATCTCCTTCATTTCCTTTCTCAGATGAGACTGATTTCGTACAACTCTTACTCAAAACACAGTTAACTTCTTCTTCTTCATTATCATCACTATCTCTAAACATCTGCTTAGTCTTTGGACGAGGACGACTTCTACTTCTACTTCTACTTCTACTTCTGTCCCTAGATCTCACACTATCTCCACCGTTTCCTTTCTCAGATGAAATTGAATTCGTACTACATCTACTCAAAACACAGTTACCTGATCCTCCTCCACTCGAGAATCTAGGAGACCGTCTCAGAGATCCTCCTCCACTCGAGAACCTAGGAGATCGTCTCAGAGTAAAAGAAGACGAGGCATTGGTCGATTTCACGCGAGACGATGGGGTAACTGCAGGTTTCGCAGAATCACACCGAGAAGGCTCCTCTTTGCCGGCATCGGAAAATCCCATTTTCGAAATCCTAAGAGATCGCCTCGGCGTAGGAAACCCATCAATCGAACTGTTGGATCCAGGGGATTTCTTCGAGCTCGAATCTTCGAACGCTAATCTCCCGGATACTTCTGCGACGAGTTTCCGGCCGCTTCTCCTCGGTGGTGGTTCCGAGCGAAAGGCCAGATCTTTCCCAGATCTCACTTGACCATCTCGGTTTTGCAGAGAGATAAGCCTCGCCGATCGACGAAGAACCGGTGTAGCGGGTTGAGGCAAGACGACCGGAGATTTCCTTCTCGTCATCTCAACGGAACTGGCAGATCCAAACAAGAAAGAGATACTGGAAATGCCAATCGTAGACCCGTGAACCCTGGACTCCGATTTGGGTTGCTTTCTTCAACTCCTTCTTCACGCCGTCTCCGCCGTCTAACGGAATTTGAGTTTCTCCCACCAAATGTGTTTTCAATTTCGTTCGTGTGAATTTTACCCAACGAAGAAATTGGGCCAAACCCATCTGAGTCAAAAAGTGATCAAAGCCCATATCTAATAAGATTGGGCCGAATCATGAGAAGGGTAATATTATAATTTACATAGACAAATATAAGCCCTAGTTTTCGTCCATTTTCATTCCTCTCCTTCAAAAACCCTAAGCGGCGCCTCCACACTCTCGATCGCGAAACCCCCAAATCTCGAACAATGCCGCCGAAGTTGGACCCAAGCGCGATCGTCGATGTGTACGTCCGTGTGACCGGAGGAGAAGTCGGAGCCGCCAGTTCTCTGGCTCCGAAGATCGGTCCTCTCGGTCTCGCACCAAAGAAGATCGGAGAAGACATCGCCAAAGAGACGGCCAAGGAGTGGAAAGGTCTCCGTGTCACCGTGAAGCTGACTGTGCAGAATCGTCAGGCTAAGGTCACGGTGGTTCCGTCAGCTGCGGCTCTGGTCATCAAGGCGTTGAAGGAGCCGGAGAGAGACCGTAAGAAGGTGAAGAACATCAAGCACAATGGCAACATTTCATTCGACGATGTGATTGAGATTGCGAGGATAATGAGGCCTAGATCTATCGCGAAGGAGCTGAGCGGGACGGTGAGGGAGATTCTGGGAACGTGCGTGTCTGTTGGGTGCACTGTTGATGGAAAGGACCCGAAGGATCTTCAGCAGGAGATTCAAGAGGGTGAGATCGAGATTCCTGAGAACTAAGCAAATGAAAATGATTTGATGGGAATTGAGAAATGCTGTTTGTCTTTCTTCTTTCATCTTTTTTTTTTTCATTTTGTGTTTGGGAACTTTTTAGCTGCAATGAATGTTTCAATTAGAAATGACTCAGTTTTGGATTATTGTTGCGTTTTCTTTTTCTCTGTTTAAGAACCCCAATGGTTTATGAATTCGCAGTTTACAATGTCTGGTTTCGTCTGAGGTTTTGAGTTGAAATGTTTTGCAATTTGGCTTGAATGTTTGGAATATCTCTTTGTTTTATGATCAGAATCTGAAATAGCATTGATACTATGTGCTATTGTTTTCTAAAAGTTGGGAACTTTGACCTGTTTACTTGAGTATGATGTTTTGCTTCTTGATGGTGAAAAGATGCAAATTTCACGGTCTTTGATTCAATTTCAACATTGGTTATTGTTCTCTTCACAAGTAAAATGTCGAGGTTCACTGCATAAGCTTAAACTCCTTTCTTCATTCATAATCTTGAGTATCATGTAGTGTTGTTACCTTGCATTCGATTATACAGTGACCAAGTGAGGCATTTGCTTTTGATTTCATAAATTTGATTTTTTGGATGCTTTTATGCTTTGCACTGTTTCTGAAATTTTTCATAAAGGAATCTCTGTCAACAAAGAAAAGTTCATTCTTCTAAATTCTTTGTCTATCTATTTAGACATTCATTAGAGTTGAATCGGTCCCCAATGGACATATATCACCTTGTATCCACTAAAAAGAGACTAGCCTTGCTGCTAGACGAAAACGCAGAGCGTGACAATCCCAAATAATCGATGGCTTGCGATTTCCGGATGAATTTTAGTGAAAGAACATGTTTGACCGTTTATTAGCGTAAAAGTTTTTCGTAGATGTTTAGCACCGTGATAACCTCGGACGATGATTATTAATTTATTATTAAGAGAAAATAGAGATTAGAGAATAGAAGAAAAAGTAAGAACAGAATAAATTAGAGGACGAAGGTGAAATTACTCTCCAGTTAACTGATCGACAATGTGATAACTGATTGATCACATTCACATGGAAGAATGCAAAGTTATATACTCGATACATATGATATGATGATAACTATGCTGATACAGTTAATCAGATGATAAAACCCAACATGGGCCAAATGACCACATCCGGATGCCGAGAGCTAAAGCCCATTGTGTAGCAAATGTACGGTCTTTAGAAGCAATGGAAGTTGCTTCTGAAGCTGGTAGAAAAAGTCATTTGGACTAAACGAGCCATTTAGAAGCAATGGAAGTTGTTTCTGAAGCTGGTAGAAAAAGTCATTTCTACGTTGCAATAGTATATTGCCGCCAATTGTTTTGTTAAAAACACACGAGCACAATATTCTTTGTTTTCATGAAAACAACTCGGTTCTAGAGTGATTTCCACCAATCTTTAATTAAGTTTGTGAAGTATTTTAAGTTATAAAATGGAAAAGAAAATTCCTTTGCCATGCTTTATGTCCTAATCTCTATAATACAAATGCATTCCTCCTCTTCTAAAGAATGGAAATTAAAAAGCGAAATCAAGACAAAAGAGGACAAGACGTGACTTTGTTTATCCACCTTCTTATACACGTAACTTAACAAGAAACATTACTGAACCTGACAGGCCGCAAATTTTGACCTTTGACAAATGACAACCTTCCAACAAATAAAATGTTGGGAATTTATACACTAGTAAACGAAATAGTAACATTGTACACTAAATAATCTGGACTAGTTTCGGTTGTGACTAAAGGACAACTTTTTTTGCAAAACAGTCGAGAGTTTTCTTGAGTACAAATCTCTTACTCTTATTATAAATTTATGTGGTACAGACTACAGAGCCAGAAATAGAGACTTCACGTTTTCATCATTGTAGATACAAAAAAAAACACACGGCTGACGTGGAATATTCATGTATCAATAGCCGACCAACGTAGCTAAAACGATAAGGATGTCGACACCTGGCAACATTATATCCATAGCTGCATCTCCTCTATTTGTTTCTTCGTCACACTTTTTGTTTTGACATCATTATTGCATTCATTTTCTCGCGTTCAGTCCATTGTCAGCAATATTTTCCAATCTAGCAGAGAGATTGGAATTTTGGAGGGAGAGAGAATGAAGTTAAATCATTAGTGGGGACCGGTTAACGTGGCATCATGTGAGTGGTTGAACAAACCGACGGCTGCGTTGAGTTGGATATCATTCTAATGGACGGTGACGATGCGTTTGCCGGAGCGGCGGGTCGCTTTCAGGCGTGCCACCCCTCCACGTGTCATCTTTTTCCAAAATCACATGGTTTTGACCTCAGTGGAGGAATCTGGACCCCTCCAAAAACGGCATCGTACTTTACACCCTGGTTTAACTAATGGTGTTGTACTGTCCGATTAATAATGGTTTCGTTTAGGCCTTTATGGTTAGTTCATGCTCAAATACACCTTTATTTATGTATCCTACCTAATCCCTAATCCGAGGTTTTGGCTCATACTACTATCTACTATACATCCAATATTCAGAATCATAAAGTCTCTAAGATATAAAATCCTGTTAACAGTTTACTACTATTAAGTAAACAAATATAACAAATCAAATTTAGTTTTGATGATACCGGAGCACTTGTCTGATAACAAACCATACTTTGTTTGGAATTTGAGAAAGTAACCATGATTCGCTGGAATGTTAAAGAAAGTTCTGGAATGTTGTATATGTGTTCAAATTACAAGAAACAAAATTGCTGAATGGATAGAAAAAGTCGATGTAGATTATAATTCTAGCATTATCATAAAAATTTGCGGCTTTTAAAATAGAGAAAAGTGACAAGCGATGGTATTTATATGAAAAAAAAAGAAGAAGAGCATCATATAGTATAATTGGGGTCGGTCGAGACGAAAATGACATTTAGGTGATGGGGCGGCGAGGCTAAGTTAAAGTAATCACTAATCACAAACCTCCATTAATCTCTACCAGGAAAATAGAAAAAAATGATCTAAACTATTAAAATAATTCAAAAGTTGTGGTTCTGATAGCACTCCACCACCACCACCACTGATTGAGTGATTGGTACTATTTCTCTATTACTAGGGCAGATAAAACTATTCTTTAAACAAGTACTCCCTCCGTTTTTTTTAATGAATTTTCTAGCCATTATGATTGTTTTACAAAGATAAAATTTTTACCTTTTTGATGCACTTTTTCAGTTTTCAAGATACAATGATTATATTTGTTGGATTTTTATTGGTTTAAAATTATAAAAAGTTGTTTTATTGTAGAAATCTATACATTAATGATTGAAAATCAATTTTTTCTTAATCTGTGTGAAAAAATTAGAAAATTTATCTTTAAAAAAACGGAGAGAGTATATACGAGTGGATATAAAGTCCTGTCTTATGACATGATAATCTAACTAATCTCGCAGACTATATTTTATTATGCATGTTCCATAGAAATTTGGATCTAACTTTTGTTGTCACGGGCTTGGTTCAAAGTATTACAAATTGTTATAACGTAAAACTTGATAAATTACGACTCAACTTGAATCCGTTACCATTTACATCTACTTATTTTGATTGGCTAATTTAGATATTCAAGGAAACCAGGGTTCTTATTTACGTACTATAAACGGTTAAATTACTATATCAAGCAATTATTGATCAGAATTTTCTATTTCAGGACAGCTCGGTTATACTTATTTTGTGCAAGCTAGTTTCTCATAAATCATACGTTCAATTATTTTATAGAAAGAAAATAACAACTCCCATTCCAATTAAAAAAACCTTAGACGTATCATATTCATAACCTAATAATATTATCATTTTCGATATAATAATAAAAAAATTAGACATGCAAAACAACAAAGAGGAGTTCTCACTATAAAAACAAAACACATGTTCTTCTCACTAACCACACTACAGAGAAGCAAAAAAAGCCATTTGTTTGGAAAGAAAGAAATAAACTAATCATGGCAAAGGACGTTGAAGCCGTTTCCGGAGATGGGTTTCAGACAAGAGACTATCAAGATCCTCCACCGGCACCGCTGTTTGATCCGGCGGAGCTGACGAAGTGGTCTTTTTACAGAGCAGTCATCGCCGAGTTCGTAGCCAC